GTCCCAGCCTCCTCAGGCCTGGCTCTCCCTAACCCATATCTATCTCCGAGACACAGTGCTGGTAGCAGATGAGGTAACAGCCAGCAGCTGCATGAGCGTCAAGCACTGTGGCTGTTGGAGATGATGCATAAAGAAGGAGAGCCCTATGTTAACACCGTTGGTGATAGAAGGGTGTGCATATGACCTCGAACTCATGTAATTCATCAACAGGATTTCTCATGGGGCTTTTCTTTCCCATGACGTATCCCTGACCACTCCATTTTAATAATCTCCCTCTACAGCCCACTTTCAGCTCTTTGCTGTATTTTTCTCTACTCACTCACTGATAGTCTACATGCTTATTTGAGTTGACTTTCTGCTTCCTGCTAGGTAACTGAAAAGAGAAGGTAGTTGACCCTCAGTGGACTAGAGTCTGTGACAGGGTCACCACTGTCTGTTCCTGTGGCAGGCATACCACAGACGGAAATGTTAAGGCACTATCTGTGGACCTGGTTGTGCCCATTGCTTGGCTATGGAACTCTGCTCTGCTATAGTACATTGGGAAACAGGGCCGATTCTGTCTTGCTCTTCAAATACGGTGTGGAGATGAGTGCTACATGACAGCACACCTGCTTTCTCAGTGGACTCAGAGAGGTAAGGATCAAATGGCTTCCAGGTATTTATACAACCAGAGCAGGCCTTAACGAGGCCTTAACCATCTCTGAGAAATCCCTTCACTTTCATCCTTTTCTGCAGATATGGAAAATAATCCCGGGCAGCAATATTATGCTTCCATGGTTACAGAGAATATTATGCTTTTCTAGGACCAAACATAATTTTGATCCTTGCCAACCGTGTTTCTGAACACGCACTCCTGAAAATCGGGCCAGCCAAGCAGAACCGAAGTAATTTACTCAGACCAAATCCGTCTTACAGCAAAAGCTGACCAATGAGGCAAACCTATGGGTTAGTGACACCTACCCAGGCCCGATCATTACTGATCTGTGCAGGAAGTTACCTTACAGGGCTACAGTGTAAGGGAACTATAGAAAGTGCGGGCTGCGGTGCCCTTTGGCTTCCAGACTCCTATTTCCAGAAGAAAGTGGGCTGACTATCCTAGGCCAAGACTCCTTGCTAATAGAAGTGGGTAACATATCGCTTGAACTTTGTAAGGTTGCTCTCATGACTTGGGGAGCCAATCTGAATGGAGTTCTTGGAGCAGAGTGTGGTACGTAACAACATTCAATAAAAGCAATTATTATTAGGTACCGTAAGAGCACTCTCAGTGACTTCAGGGTTTTGCCAGATGGCTCTCTCCAAGTTATTCTGATTCCTAGAATGCTGCAACTTACAATGACACTATCTAAAAATCTCCACAGGCATGCCTTTGCCATTACTAACAGCACACGGAGACCACAGCGCTCATGGAGATTAAGCCTTGATTTTCTTTATCTAGGAGAACAGTCTGCTTTTAAATAAGGGCAAAAGTGAGGAAAGAGAAAGTTCCCCTAGTTATTTATTTATTTTTTGATTGCTGTGTGTGTGTCTTTTGAGATGAGGTCTTCTTACAGCGCCTGGGATGCAGTGCATACGTGCACAGAGCTTTCGCGCATTCCCTCCCCTCATTCCTCGTGCTTCCTTGTGGTGGTGAGCAGCACCTTCTCTGGAGATGGGTGCTGTGTGGGGGGAGAAAATGGAAGCGGCAGGTGCGGGCTATTTTCAAAACATCTGGTTTTGATGGTAACAGGAGACGGAGCGGAGCAGTCAGGGGAACAACCGTGTTTAGATTGAGGGTCTGCCTGCGTGTCTGACATTTGGGAGACGCAAGATGTTTAAAAAGCCAAGGGCTGTGGATATAATCACTCAGTGGTAGAGTGATTGTCTAGCCCCTGGGAGGACCTGGTTTTAATCCCTGGGACTGAAAGAAACCAACAAAGAAACAAAGGTGCAGAGGCTATGCTTGTATCCCTTGCTCTACAACACAACAGGGGGAAATATTTAGAAAGGAAAGAAATAGAAATGACATTCTGGATTCTAAAGGAAAGGAAGGAAAACCATCTGAGCTTAGGTGAGACCGAGGAAGGCCTCATGTACAAGATGAGACACAGCAGAAATGGTATGGGTGTAGAAATGGTATTCAAGCGGGGGTTGGAGCTGGGCTTATGGGACACGGCCGCCATTCCAGTGTGTGTTGTTCACACACACTGTCCCAACCTAATGGCGTATTTCTCAGAATGTGCCGTGCCGCAAAAGTACCCATGACTATGGATGGAGAAGAGTGGTGTTCTCCCGGCCTGGAGAATGAGTCAGAGCTACAGGTACATTTCTGCTTAGGAACAATGGCAAGGAACTGAAAGTCCGTGTACAGACTCAGTCGGCCTCATAGGTAAGATGCTTCTTTGAGCTTTAAAGGGGCATCCCAAAGCATAGTTGGCTCAGTACCACTAAAACAGACCAAGGCTGAGACTCCTGTCATCCCATGCAATGAAAATGGCACCCACAAATTCATGTTACGGCTTATCTTCTGCTACCTAAATATCCCACTGGTCTGGGAAAGGTGATATATTATCACTGACCTTGGAACACGGCGAATATCATCAGCCTAGGGCTGTAAGGGACCGACACTGAAGACTTTCTCTCCCACCTTCTCTCCCAGTCCCAGATCTTGCTAAGACTGTGTGTGGCCTATGTCATGTTCAAACAACCTGATTTCATTATTGGAAATAGCTTTTCCAAGGAAGACACCATTTTTCTTGGTTACTTCCATTTTTTGGGTTACATCTTCCCTCAACATGAGAACAAAAAAAAAAGCCGCTACCCCATTGTAAGTGCTAAGAACTGAGCTTACAGCCTCATGGATGATACCAGTCAAGTGCTCTACCACCGAGCTATAGTCTCAGGCCTCTTGGTGTCTTTGTTTAAGCTTCATGGATACTTCTCCAGGTCTCAACAGAAATTAAAGCCTTAAGATAAACATACAAGTATGGTGAAAACTATTTTATAATTCAAATAAATAATGAGAAAAGAGAAAAGAGGAGATTCTCTGTAGATGTCCTCTCTAAAGAGAAACATTAGTAGCTTCAGATCTACATAAAGGGCAACACAGATAACTGAAAGCCTGTCTTCTCTCAACATCTTAATGTGATAGTCCAGAGAATTACTCCCATCTCGAGTAACCATGGTAACTTGCAGAGCCGGATGCTAGCAATGCTTGGGAAAACATGAGAGGAGAGCACTTCAGAAGGGCAATGTGGTTCAGTCTACTCCCAAGAAGCAGGGATAACAGATGTCTAGCCAGGAACTAGAAAGCCAAGAGTCTCCCTGATGTCCAACAACAGAATCTGGAAGAAAAACACCTTAGAATTCAGCTCATCTAATTCCAATTTTAACAAAGAAAATGAGGCCCAGAGGCTGGTTTGATCTGGGTCATCTAGTGTTGGGTAGAAAGAAAAATCACTTAGTGGTCGTCACTCGGCCCACTGTCCACCAGCTCCCACTGGTTTCTAATCCAGGAAGCCCTTAGACACGCAAGAGGTCTCAGTATCCATTTTGTGCCAATCCAGGTCTCTATCATTTTTCTACTTGGTTTTTTATTACAAATATTTCCAAATATCAACCAGTAGAAACAAAACAACAACAAACTCTGGAACACACTGTCTACAAATGTCAACTCCTGACAACCCCCCCACACCCCATTTTTATAACTTCATTTCTTCAAGGCAATTCTGAAACAATTCTCAGGTATCATTATTGCTCATTAGACAGCAAATAATCAGATTTTCTACCTGAGTGTGAAGCAGGGACACGTGTCTCTAGGGATCCTTGGTTTTCCTGTTACACACACTTGGGCTGTGTCTAGTATTTTCTGTTTCACAGCTCAAGGACACAAGGGTAGTCTTACCTAGACCAATAAGACCTGATCTGTGATCCTGCACACATGGGGAATTTTGATAAAGGGATCATTTTGGATAGGAAGCATGAAGAAAGCTGAACTTATATCAAGAGATAAACACCTTTTTGTCCTCAAACAAAATTCCATGGATACCTAGCATTTGTTGAAATTGAGCTTAGAATCAAAACTAATTCCCCCCACAAGTCCATGTAAAAGGTACCAAGCAATGACATTCTTTTATTCATTTTTTCTCATACAGGGTCTGCTTGTCATCCATTCTTTTACTTCAGTTTAGGGTCTCGCTATACTCAGGCTCACAGTCCTCCCATCTCCCCCTTCAATAGGTTGGTGCTCATGTCACCATGCCCACCCCAATGTAATTCTAGATGTTTAATAAATCCACAAAGTAAATGACAATAAAGTAATTTCCCATCATCTTTTCTAAGACAGAAACTATTGCTTCGTTCTAAGGATGTGATGGGAAATTATTATAAACAACAAATACATCAACACTTCCTTCATCCAGTCTCTGAAAAAAAAAAACACACAACAATGAAGACATAAAAAAAAAAGTTCTGAGCCAGGTGTGGTGGTACACCCATGTAATCCTAACATGCAGGGGGTAAAGTCAGGAGGATCAGGAGTTCAATGCCAGCCATGGCTATGTAGTAAATTCAAGGCCAGCCTGCAACAAGATCTTGCTTAAAGAAGAATAAAGTTTTAATCAATAAATATGTCTATTAGTAGTAGTAGGTAGACAGCATGTGACTACGTATGTATGAAAAAAAATGGGTGCTTGATGCTCTGACACTGACAGACACCATCTCCACCTCCAACCTTTTACTGTCCCTCTGCTTCGTCACATGCCGTCATCTCTATGAATGGACAGAAGTGTATTTTCATGTCAGGCTACATGAGAAAGCCAAAGTCAGAACAACTAAGGGGCAGCCAGAAGGCTTGAACTGTTTGATCTTTAAGTGAAATCATTTCCTGTTAAACACAAATTCACATTCTTTCAGAAAAAAAAAAAAAAAACCATCCCCTAAAACAGAATGCTCGACTGGCTGAAAATGCTAACCACTTCTCCATCTTGTAACGGTGAAAGCAACCAACGGTGAAAGGTACGTACCTGCTGAGGTTTCTCTGAATTTGTCGCTGGTCTTCTTCTTCCTCCATTTCCAAGGCTTGAAGATCTTACCAATGGTGGAGAGTTTCCCCTTTCTCTTGAAGGGAGGTGTCTGGGAACCTGCTGGGGGGCCATCTGAGTTTGCTATGGAGGCTTTGTCTAGTCCATCAACTGTATAAAGAAAAATGAAGTCAGAAAAAAGTTGCAATAAAAGTTTGAGACAATACTATCTGTCTTTTCCTGGACTGTTAACAGCAACCTTGCCTACTCTCTTTGGAATCTCACATAAAGTCTGTTTTGTCCCATCCTGCAGCTGGTAGGACTCCCTTGATATCAATCAGGGACTCAATCAATCATGAGCTATAGTCCCCCTAGGTAATCATTTTGGGGAAACAGAAAAAGAGTGCAAAACTTACATAATAGTTAGGGCCAGACAAATCAAGGCCCATGAACCACAGCAGAGCCCATCTGCAGCAATCTAGCAATATTTTGTGCAGAAATCCAGTACACTCAGAGTTCCTGAAACAGGATGCTCCTCCATGCTGAGCTCAGCATTCTCAACTAAGGACTTCACAGTCATGGCACTGTGAAAACCATGGTTTCTCCTTTACAAAAGAAAATATTGGCTGGGCGGTGGTGGCGCACGCCTTTAATCCCAGCACTCAGGAGGCAGAGGCAAGTGAATCTCTGTGAGTTTGAGGACAGCCTGGTCTACAAAGTGAGTTCCAGGACAGGCTCCAAAAGCTACACAGAGAAACTCTGTCTTGAAAAACCAAAAAAAGGAAAAAGAAAAAGAAAGTTTGGTGCCAGGAAGCTAAACTCTGTTTTTATAATACTAACACCACAGTGTGCTTCTGTTACAGCTAAGTTTTCAGCCTCAAATAAACTGATAGCTATCATTAACATTAACTTCTCCGAAGTTTTGGAAACTTTCACAGAATTTATCCCAATATTGGTTGCATTATCACACATCTTTATGATTTTTGTGCATTTTACTTGATGTAAAATTAATCGTAGAAAACTCACAGAGTGAAGTCTAACTGATAAGTGTGCTAAAGTGATTATTGGTGAACTGTGCTGATATCCATCAAAAACAAATGAACAGATAGATGGAATGAGCAGATGGATAAATACCCAACAGAGCAGAGCACTCAGTTGTTGAAGCTGTGTGGTAAATATGTGAGGTATAGGGTGAAATGCTTTTATCCTTTGCATTATTTTTGGAAACTTTCATAATAAAAACATCTGGCGAAGGGGACAAGGAATAACAGAACTCAAACAGCAGGCACTACTACTTCAAGGAAGGTATTTTTAAGGTACTTTTGCTAAGTACAACTTGGAAAACAGCAACCACCCTGCACGCCACAGATTTTTAAAAAGATGATTGTGAAGTAGGGAGAAAGCAGACCACCCCAAGATTTCAGACGACAATAAACAACATGATGTGGGGACCCACAAATTCTACCCCCCCCCACATCTCTTGCTCTTGTAGCTATAACAAACCAGAAAGACCAGTGGGCATGGGCCCAGAGAGCCTCAAACAAAAGCCTGCTCTTTCTAGCCATCAGACAGCGGGGGGGGGGGGGGGGGGGGGGGGGGGGGGGGGGGGGGGGGGGGGGGGGGGGGGGGGGAAGACAACCTGGGAAGACAGAAAAGTTTCAACCACAACTATTCTGCTCTGCCCAAATACCACAGAGGAAACTGTGATCATACGTGCCAGCAAAAGCTCAAAGCAAGAATGAGACTTTCACTCTCATGAGCCTCCAGAAAGGATCCTGATACCTCTGCCAGAGTCATGCTAACAGAAGACAAAACAGGAAGACCTCCATGTCTCTGAGTGGGTAGGGAAGCATCCTGCAGAGTGTCAATGGAGAGACTATGTGTGAAGACTAGACTTTTACCCCATCCAGCATCTGGGGCTTTGTCAAACCCCTGTCCTCTGGGAATTCTCGCCCTGCCCAATTTGAATGAAGACCTTCATATATAGGGTGTCAACAAGAACGTAAGTGGGGAACCTGGATTTGCACCTCTGTGCAAGCGTGGCAAGCTGGCAGCCATTGCTCGCTTGCTGGAGAAGTGTTAGATGAAGTCAGTGGAGGCAGAAGGTTTAAGGAGGATGTGGAGTCTCATGACATAATACACAAAAAGCTCAAGTTTTGGTTAAAAAAAAAAAACCCTGACATATCACGAGCCAAGAAAATTTCAAACTGAATGAAAAACATCAATCAATAGTTACCAGCAGTTAGGTAACTAAATCCGGATGAATTTTCCTTCCAAATACATAGGGCAGGTAATTCCAACTCCTCTTCCTTGTGATCCCAGGTGCCACCTAGGCAGAGGTACCACAGGCTGTATACTCTAGGTGGCCCTCACCCTACCTTCAGCCATACCACAATAGAAAGAGACGTGGGAGTGGCAGTCTGCACACTAAGTTACAGGGAAACCCCCATGGAGAAATGAAATCGTCACGTCTACTCCTGCTCAATTGCTTACTGTGAACTCTAGGACAAACCCACAGAGGAAGAACTCACGGAGGACGCAAGTGTGAATTTTTCTTCTTCGTGAGACTTTATACTGAGATCTCACAGAAAAGATTAATTTTCAACAACTGAATATTGTAAAATATAAACGGGCTGACTCGTGCAAACAGAAGAAGTAATGTTTCCATTTGAAATTCATCTCTGTGACTACAGACCAACATCCAGTTCTTACTTTGTTACACTGGAAAGGGAATGTCATCACCCAGACCATATACCTGGTTCTTTGACACATCACAAAAATTGCGATTTCCACCTGAACCAGTGAAGCTTAGTATATTTTGCACTTTTTAAATAAAAACAAAGTTAAAAAAATGTAGCAGTTTCCTTGACGACACAGGGTCACTGAGGTAGGAAGACTGTTGTGGAATATTATTTGAAGATGTGTTACATTTGTTTATGCTGTGAAACGTTTGCTTAATGATGCCAAGATATGTTGCATTTTTTTTAATGTTGCTGTGAGGCTGTGTTACTTTTCCTGTTTAAAACACCTGATGGTCTAATAAAGAGCTGAACAGCCAATAGCAAGGCAGGAGAAAGGACAGGCGGGGCTGGCAGGCAGAGAGAATAAATAGAAGGAGAAATCTGGGAAGAAGAGATCTAGGAGTGAGAGAAGGAGGGGGACTCTAGGGGCCAGCCACCCAGCTACACAGCATGCCACTGAGTAAGAAGTAAAGAAAGGTATATAGGATAAAAATAAAAGCCCAGAGGCAAAAGGTAGATGGGATAATTTAAGAAAAGCTGGCTAGAAATAAGCCAAGCTAAGGCTGGGCATTCATAAGTAAGAATAAGACTATGTGTGATATATTTGGGAGCTGGGTGGCAGGCCCCCCACCGAGCCAAAAGAGTAAAAACACCAACTGCAGGTGACAGGTGTTGAGTGAAAAATGACGTGGTGTTAAATTCATGACTGCACACAGAATGAACGACAATACCTTTCTTATTGTGCCTTCAGTACTGTCTTCATCTAAGGTACCGAAGGCGGAGGCCAGCGCCAGCAGCACTGGGGTATGTTCACACGCGTGAGTGTGCAATGCACATGTTGTATATCCCCTGGCTGAATGAATCTACTTGCGGTGTTTTAGAACTTCTAGACTCTTACTGAAAACCAGCCTGGCTGTTAGAGACTGTACAACGGCACAGTTGACCCAAATGCCACTGTACTTCTCTTAAAACGTGACAAGGGAGAGAACTGTCACTGGCTTTAGAGAAGTATAGGCAGAATATTTTCTCCAGACACCTGGGAATTAGTAGCACCGCTGATACTTCTATGATTTTTCTTTTGAATAAACTTATCATCAACAACCCCTTTGAAATTTTCTGTAAACTCTTCCATCCAAGCCCAACAGAGTTTGCATTTACACACAGAGACGGAAAACAGAAACAAACAAACCAACAAACCTAGGCCAGCTCTAGCTGTTTTCAATGTTAATTTTCATCTACTTTCTTGTTATTTTCCTTTTTTTCCCTCTTACTATGAAAAGTATGTTCCAATATAGGTCAGGCTGGCCTTGAACTCATAATCCTCTTCCCCCAGCCTCCCAAGTGCTGGGATTATGGGAGCACATTATCACATGCAGCAATGATCTACTTTCCTGTTCATCATTACCTTCTGGTTCATACTAGAGACCTACATTTTTAAATGCAGCACATTCTGAAATGCAGTCATGGGCTTCATTGAATATGGATGTTTTACATGCTGTAGCTCTACGTATTTTCCTAGTGAAATAAGCCCACACCAATGAGCTTCCTTGTGTTGCCAACTGGTAAGACTTCAAAGAGAACATGCAGATTTTATTTTAATTTAAACAGAAACCCAAGAAATCTCAATACAAAGTGTCTGTATGGGTCAAAAAAGAAATGAAGCTAGATTATTATTACATTAAAATTATGAACTCTGCTGTTCCTTCCTCTGAAATCTAAGAACAGACAGGGCTTCTTAGGAAAGGTCAACTATTTAATAGGAGAGTTTATAGGTTTTTAAAAACAATATTTTGTGTTTTATGATATGTCAGACACCTATTTTCCTGTACACACAATCATTTCAGTCACTGAGAAAATGAGGCACAGTATTCCATTCATAAATCTGGTAGCTGAAAGGTCAATTAGAAAAAGGCCCTATGAAAGACCTCCTGGTGTTGACTTGTGCAAGTTGGCAGCCACTCTGTGAAAAAGTAGTTTAAAAAGATGGTCTCAACTTTCTCTAAATATCCTTAAATACTTTCAAGTGAAATTGGATGCATTTCTGAAGTCCAATAATAACAAAACCAGACAGAGATCATGTGTGGTAAATACATTTCGCTAAGCCCATGCTTTGAGGAAGCTGAAAAGCAAAAACAAAAACAAGCAACCAACCTTTATTTCCTTGAAATGTGGTTTCTGAGATATCTTTCTCTTTTTATACACATATATGATTGTTTAATCATTATGATTATGTTAAAATTATCAATATAGATTCCTACCATGTTTGTGTGTGTGTGTGTGTGTGTGTGTGTGTGTGTGTTTCCCTTAAAGTTCTACCACTAACCTTTAAGGCCATAGGACATTCAGTAAGGAAATAAGCATAGTGCATTGGGAAGATTTAATTATAGCCCCTCCATTCAACTGATTTTGTATATGCCCTATTATTCATGA